GGATTCCAATCCATTGGATTTTTTCCTAAAGAAGCCCTTTGGATCAAAGGAACCACACCTCCAAAATTTCTATGGATGCATTCCTACACCTCAATCCTATAGGAATTTCAACATCCACTAAAACCTCTTTTTTACACTGATTCGCGTAGGATCGAGACACTTTTCCTGTGTTTTTCCTGTGTTCCATCCAAATGACCATTCTTATAGTTTTTCTCTATTTTGTAATCCTCTGTTTTGCACCTACAATCCCGTCAAATTCATGTGTTTTTTGAATTCCTTTGTTTTCTAATCCTGTGATCCAAAGAAGCCCTGAACTGGCCGATGGACACGTCTCCGCTGCACGCATCCGCCTAACGGATTGATAGGCGCGTCATTTGTCTTGCAAACTTGAGCTCCAAGGCCAGGCTGACGCTGCCTACCGGGTCGGAACTTGTGGTCTGATCCGTCTCGAGTATACGCAATTGCAAGGCTCGTCTAAAATTTTATCAGAGTTTCGTACTGCTAGTTTTCAACCACGCACGCAGATTGCGACTGCTGGAGCTTACAAATGGATTCTTCTGTTGGCCGCCCCGCCTGCGCGCCGGATCACGGAGCCGGACTCTGACGCTGGATTAGCCTCCAAAGACAGTGATACCGGGCGGCTAGAAAATACTAGTAGTAACATGATTCGCTCTCAAGCAGTCACCTGATCAGTGGAGACGTCGCCAGAGCAAAAACAAACAGCCGTTTTCTTTCTGAGTGAAGACGTCGCCAGTGCCCACCGAAAACCAAACAAAAATGCGCGGTTTGCAACGAGGAAAAAAATTGGAAAAACGTGGGTCAATCTTGGCGCCCGCCGTTTCGCCGCAGTTTCCCGGGGCCGAACGAAGTCACGGAGAAGGGGCGTCGCTTGTCCTGCGTGCCTACTGCTGGGAGCACAGTGAAGTCAGAGGAACGTCGCCCATCACAGCCACGGTCATATGAGTGAAGTCTATTTTAAACCTTATATTCATACGACTCGTCCAAATTAAACCCTAACCTTTCAATCCCTGAAGTTGATATCCTCTACTCATTGTTCCCGGTCTATTTCAACCTTGAACCTGTTTGGCGCACAAGGAAAAAGATGATCCCGGCCGGGTTTAATCTGTACTCTCACTTACAACACTGGTCCACATGTCATCTCCGTTCTTCAATCTCCACCTTATCCCCAATTCCCTTCCTCTCTCTCCTAAAATGGTGGAATGGGCGGCCGCAGAACGGCGGAGGCGTTGGTTAGCGGCGAACTTGTTGAGGCAGAAGAAGCAGTTGAACTGCCGCCCTGTGCACTAGAGTCGGACAACTCGCTGTACGCGAACGCATGGAGCAGCCCGTCGATGGTCGCGCCCAGGCCTGCTGCCGACCCGTGGAACAACCGTTGCAGTTTTCGTGTTCCTAAACGGCCTCCGCCCTGGCATTGGCGCGTGCTGCTCCTCCCCTCCAAGCCAGCACGCGTGCTGCTAACGGCGGAGAGAAGACGGGGCACGGCGAGCGAGTCGTGTTGGGTTTGGCCGAGTGCCGCACTCACTGGCTCCTCATCCTCCTCGCGGAGGAGAAGATGGCGATGAAGAGCTAGAGCTTCACCTTGCCAAGCAGCAAGCACCACGACTGGCCGGCACAGGTGGATGAATGATAGCAACACGAACGTCCTGTGTGCTTACATGGTGCCACACGAGCTGCACGGCCACGGAGACGGTGTGACGACGACGACGAAGCTTCTCCTGGCCGGCGGCAACATAGTACAAAGCTAGCACTAACTCCGGCTGCCTTGATCCTTGATTCCTAGTAGCACGATCTCCTTTTGTCAATCCACTGGGACGTGCACTAGGTTGCTACTTGACCTAGTTAGTCAACGGACCCAAGACACGCATCAGCGCCGGGTTATGCCATCTTTAACTCCAACAGAAAGGAGGGGCCGGCGGCCGGTGGAGCACCCCCGAATTCTCTTGTCCATGGCATGGCGCATAGCGAGGCAAGGCGGTGCGGCCATGTCGAGGAAGGCGTTCCCTTGCCGTCACACACTCACGAGGACAGACACCACGCCCTGCTTCCCGTTGCCGTGGCCACCGGTTGGCTGGGCTTGAGCATTGTGATTCCTACAGAGAGAGATGAAGAGAATGAGCAGAAGATGAATATGACAAGTGGACCCATGTACTCAGTGAGAGAAGAGAATAGTCCTGGCCGGGATCAATATCTTCCCAGCACACCAAACTGGCATAACCGGATCCAGGGTTAAAATAGACCGGGATCTATAAGTATAGGGTCCAGATTTCAGGGATTTTTTTTCGAAACAGAGGCAAAAGGATTGCCTCATCGATTAATTAAGAAGAAGATAATTGCCCGGTTAATTTAGGAAAACCGGGCGAAAACCGATACAAACACTACAAAAGTGACACTCCAGAAGCGACTCACTCTCACCACCACGTAGACGGTCCACCAAATGCTCCCAACACACAATAAACCACAGCCACTTCTACGACTCAAAAGACCAAAGCCACGTGGACAACGCGAAACACTGAGCACCACCAATCATGAAATTACAGTTGCCTTCCCTTTAGCATCATCAACCAAAGAAACCTCCAACTGCTCACTTGACAGAGGCGAAACTTGTCCTTCAATCGAGGCCGTCGACATGTCCACCTTCGTATGCTCCACTGATAGACTCAGGCATAGCTCCCTAAGCTCAGGCATGATCTGCAGCACCGGAGTCACAAGCATGGCGATGGACTCGCCCTCAGTGGAAGACACCATAAGAGGGGAGGTAGGCACCGACGATGAATGGACTCCAACACGAGGGGAGAAAGAGCCATACAACTCCTCACCCCTGTCTTCCACGGAGCAAACACCGGCCACGCAAGGAGAATGTGACGTCAGAGTGGTCTGCAACAGAGCCGGCACAAGGGATAGTCTACCCAGAGCAACCTCCGCTCGCTCCAGAAAGCTCTCAACCCGTGCCACACAACCTTGCAACAGTGCAGTCTGATTAGCCAGAGCGGACTGCAACATCAGCTCGGACGGGGTTGCCGAGCCAGCAGGAACAGAGACAACAGATGCCCAAGACCCACGGTGAAGCGCCTTCGAAGGGGGTGTGGATCTCACCGAACCCTCACATGAAGCAGGAGCAACACAATGCACGGTGCCGAGGCGGGACACATGCGGCACATCAAGGCATGATAATGAGCTCAGAGGACGCCAGGGGTTGCGACATTCACGCGCACGATGACCATTCTCCAAACAACGGGAGCACCGCAACGGATCTCTGCAAACCACCGCACGATGCCCATAAGCAAGGCATCTACAGCATCTACCATGGAGCCAAGCAGGGATGGGACGAGGAGGACGAGGAGCCACCATCGAGGATGGCGACGAAGTCAAACGACGCGGGCCGTGCCGCGGTAGCACCTCCTGCCAACCCTCACTTGTGTCTGTGTCATGGCCCATGCAAATCCCTTCGGAGTCGAGGGCTTCGGTGACAGTCGGCGGCGTCTGGGGGGCCAACTCCTCTTCGTCATTGTTGTCAGCAGCGAAGGCCCACAACACAGCTCGCGGTGCATTGGTCAGCCCGTTGCCCATGCCAGCAACGATGCTTTTTGCATTGTCGGGCAGCGTCAAGGCCATCTCCTCTCCACAGCCCTCATTGTCTCCATTGGCCGGGGCCACAGGGGCCGGCAACAGGGCTCGGGCTCGCGGTGCACTGGTTAGCTCACGCCCCATGACAACAACGGTGCTCTTTGCATTGGCGGGCAGCGACAAAGCCAGATCCTCTTCACAACGCCCGTCCTCCCCATTCGCCGGGGCAGCACGGGCCGGCAGCAGCACACTTGAGACGGCACCGACAAGAGGGACAGGGGCGGCATGAGTCCGAACAGAAGCAGATGTTGACGCAGGATTGAGACGGGGCGTGCACGAGGCCTTCACACCCCCATCCTCCCTCCTGAATCTGCAAGCTGGCGGCAGCGGCCGCGGTCGAGGGACAACGCCAGCAGCCGGGATGGTGCTTGCAGCCCAAGTGCACGACCCTACTCATGCCTTGGTCTCCACGACGCTATCAGCCCGGTATAGCGATGCAGACGGCGGAAGGACGACGGCTGCAACAGCCGGAGACGCCGCCGGAGCGGCGGCCGCCGCGGAGGCCTCCTCGAGCGGCATCGCAGGGCGAACCGGGGCGCAGGGCGGCGATGAGGACGTGGGAGAGCGCGCCTCAGGGCACCCGGATCCGGTCACAGCGGCCGCAACGGAGCACGGAGGCCGGAGATCCGTGCGTCGGCGGCACGCGCCCAGCCGCCACTTGCACGGACGCGACAGCACTATCCTTCCCATCCGCTTGACGTCGGGCTGAGCCTCGCAGGGAGAAGAGAGAGGGCAAGCAGGGGACTCCGGATCTGGCCTCGGCAGCTGCAAGGGTAGCCGGAGAAGGGAGATCGAGTCGCCGGCGCCGGGGGCGCTCACCCGACGCAGGTGCGGTCGCGGGAGCCCATGGGCACTAGCGGGCAAGGATGATTTCAGGGATTGAAAGGTTATGGTTTGATCCTGACTAGCTGTATGAATTCAAGGTTTAAAATAGATTTCACTCCGGTCATATCTGTTGCAGCACAGCACGTAAAGATTTGTACGTACGTACCGAATCGGATGCAAACGCAGAGCCAGCGATAGCCCGAGGTCACGGCACCGGCAGCCCGTACGGGCACACCACCGTGGCCGCCCGTTTGTCAACGCGCAGTCGCCTGAACTTTCCTCGCTCTCCCGCGGCAGCGACGGCTCTCAAACACCTCGCGCCCCTCACCCCTCATCCAGCTCCACACGGCACACACCACCCCGACCCCCAAGACAGACACGACACGCGCGCGTCGGCCTCACTACCAAACTTCCTCCATCCCTCGCCCGCCCGGACGCGCACGGCGCGCGACAGACGCGCACCGCGTCCCCTCCCCGGCGAAGCCCTCTCGGCCGAGCCCACGCGCCCCGCCGGCCTGGCGGCGGAGGACATGAAGCCCCGGGACCTGCTGGAGCGGATCAGGCGGCCCTTCGCCTCCCGCCGCGGGTCGTCGGCGTCGGCGCGGCGGGAGGAGGAGGACCTGGAGGCCATCGCGGCGCGGGAGCAGCGCGCGTTCCGGTACGAGGCGCTGGCGGCGGCCACGCGCAACTTCTCGGAGAAGCAGAAGCTCGGGCAGGGCGGGTTCGGCCCCGTCTACCTGGGCCAGCTCCCCGACGGCCGGGACGTGGCCGTCAAGCGGCTGGGCGCCGGGTCCAGGCAGGGCGCGCGGGAGTTCAAGAACGAGGCCAACCTGCTGTCCCGCGTCCAGCACCGCAACGTCGTCAACCTGCTCGGCTACTGCGCCCACGGCGCCGACGAGAAGCTGCTCGTCTACGAGTACGTCCCCAACGAGAGCCTCGACAAGATCCTCTTCTCCGCCGCCGCCCCGCCGCCCACCGCCAGCAGCAAGACGCACTGTGAGTCGCTCCGTCCCATCCCACCCGTCTCGCTTCATTTCTCGTCGCCATTCCCTTGTGCTCCCCTTCCATTCTTAATTTGGTTGGTTGATTCGTGATGGACTTCCCATTTTGCGCATTGGAAACATGAATTCCGACCAACCCTGTGCGATCGGAAGGTGAAGAATGCGCAGATGCACATGATACTTCGTGGTTGGTGGTGATATTTCGTAGGAAATTAATGCACCGGAAAATTGCAGCAGCGAGTTCACACAGAGTAGGACTAGAACGTACTACATGTCCGTTCATTGCTCGCGTCAGTGAGGGTGTCATGCTGCCGACGCCTCTCTGCAAGAATGCGCATATCTCTTACAGAAAGAAAAATCAACGAAATGATGCCCTCATAGACTTCTGCTAGAATTATTGATATTCAGAATGCACACGCATGCTGAATTGCTGGTTGCTGAACCGGTGAGTGCAGACAATTTTACGAGAGCAATGTCGCACCAGCACCGTATACGTATACACATTCACATCAATCTACGGTATGATGGAATAGGCCCATGCTCTGCAACAGTGGAAGCATCTATCTAGAGGAGAGAAAAAAACTAAAGAAATGCTACATGCATAGTTTTTTCTTTTGAATTTTCACCCGCGGGGGGTGGGGGGCGGGGGAGAGAGTTTCCCGGGCAAGGCCCGATAGTTACAAGATACATTTCTTTTTGACCGAGCAACAAGGAGAGAGAAGGCAGGAGAACATTTTCGGTCTTTTTAGTTTAATAACGTGGCATCATAGGCTGATAGCCACATCCATATCCTTCCAAGATTGAATTGGGTTCTGTAGGAGACTGCCGTACAGTTGTTGGGTTGGCAACTTGACATTTGTATTGGGTATCAGGTTGCAAACGTGGATTTAGAATTCTAGATGCTAGAATTATGAGTTTTTACTAGAAAAGAAATGCATAGGTTAATGTCAGCTCGTGGGTCATCCATGACGTAGGCGCGATGAATAACAAACGGTCCACTGTTGTAGCCCGTAGTACGCTGCGCTGTTGTCGCTGTTACCCCTTTAGGGCATCTACAATGCTTGCCGCCAGACCAGGCGCTTATATAGAAAAGAAATTATTTTTTAAAAATTAGAAAATAGCTAAGAGCCCAGCCTTCCAACGCAAGCCGCTACCAGGGGCACTAATTGTGCGCTAATTAAACTGCTAATGCGTCACAAGCAGGGAAAAAAGGAAGTGCATCTATTTGCGCCTGGTGGCGTCCGATGCCAGGATTCGAAGCATGTAACTGCCAATCGATCGGGATATCGATGGGAATTAGATCCTGGCGCCGACCGCAAGCGTCCGCATTGGACATGCCCTTAGGAAGCACGAACGGAAGCGAACAACCGTGTTATCCCGGGACGAGACCACGACTACTGGTCCAGGCCATAAACGGCAAAAGCACAATCTGCCCTTTTGAAAAATTCCAATGCACGAATGGTCGACCGCCGCGTAGAGCTCAGTCAGCACAGCACGCCTTGTTTGAAAAATTCATGTCCGCAGTGCGTTGCCTTGCCGGTTTCACTTTGAGAACACAAGAAATCTGTTAGCGCAAAGTAATAGTATATCCTTGCCACGGCAAGTACGCATATGCATCACATGACGCCGAGATGATGTACTAGATTCATATGCAGGCCGATCGCTTGCTGAGGAAGAATGGTTTGCTTATTTTACTTATTACCTAGTACTTATTAAGGGGCCGTACGCTTCCCGTCAAAATTCGTTGGGCCTCTGAAAGAGACGGGTTGATCGACGGAACCAGAATCGGTGACGAAATGTTCCTCTCCGATCGGTCGGTTGCTTTTATTTTTAGGCTAGTGCTATCTCCGTCCTGGTTTATTGGCCTTTTTTATAATTTGTGTTAAATTTTGATCAAGACTTAACTAACAAAATGTTAATACATGCCAACAAAAATTATATCGTTGGCAAAGTTTTCAATGATACCCCCTCCGTTTTAAAATAAGTGTCTCAACTTTGTACTAAGTTTAAGACACTTATTTGGAACGGTTGGAGTATAATTTTTTATGACATGCATAAATATTTTGTTAGTTAGATTTATGATCAAAATTTAACATAGTATACAATGAGGATCAATACGTACAACTTAACCAGGTGGCTCGAGGCATGCACGGAAAGTTGGCTTTTGACACCACTTCCTCTTGCTTCGACAGTGAGGCAGTTCTGACTTCTGACGCACTTGCTCTTGCTTTGGCGCGAATCTCCAACTCCTGCACGCGCGGTTCTTACATATACATACGAGGAAAAGCAATTAACGTGCACCATCCTTTTGTTTTGCGCCCCCCTGTGGATGGACATCGCAGTCAGTCTCTACGTGAACTGATGGGATGGCAGCAGTAGCCTAGTGCCAAACCCTAACCCAACTATTCTTCTGCTTTGACCAGGCGGCCTTTTCTTGCGATAACCCTTTTGACCGAGTCAAAGTCTTCCACTAGCTGTTTCCGGCATTGAATGCCGTGGTTTTCCTCATGTTAGTCTTACGTGGGTGCCTCTGGGTGCAGTGTACAACCGCGCTGCACCCGGGGCTGGATTCAGTTCATGTGCACGTTTCTTGCTCCCTCCGTTTGATTGAGTTCCTCCCCCTGCCGACCTGGTCCATGAGGCGGCGCTGGCACGTCGCCGTCGCCGTCCGGTCCAATCCGATGTGTCATCGCAGAGTGCCGGGCAGCACACGGCGACGCTAGCCTGCCGGGGCTGCCGTGTGTGTGGTGCCAAGTTTAACTGAGTTTCGCAAGCTGGAATGAACGGGGTTTTGATCTGGGCATGCTCTGCACTGTACGTGGCTCTGATGTCAGGTGTTCTTGTCTTTTGCATGTCCAGCCGGCAGCAGCAGCGACGGCCACAGGCCATTGCGGGCGGAGCTGACGTGGCCGCGGCGGCTGGAGGTGGTGGTGGGCGTGGCGCGGGGGCTGCTGTACCTGCACGAGGACGCGCACACGCCCATCATCCACCGCGATATCAAGGCCAGCAACATCCTCCTCGACGAACGCTGGGTCGCCAAGATCGCCGACTTCGGCATGGCCCGCCTCTTCCCGGAGGCCGGCGACGGCCGCTCCCACGTCCAGACCCGCGTCGCCGGCACCAACGGCTACATGGCGCCCGAGTACCTCATGCACGGCCACCTCTCCGCCAAGGCCGACGTCTTCAGCTTCGGCGTCCTCGTCCTCGAGATCCTCTCCGGCCGCAAGAACTCCTCCTTCATCCCGCCGCCTCGATCCAGCGCCGACAACCTCCTCGATTACGTATGTAGCAGCATGTGCGGTTTCCTCCGTTGATGATCTGTGCCATGACGTGCATGCAGCTAGCCTACAAGGATAACAATGTGTTGCATGCATGCAGGCCTGGAAGCTGTACAAGGAGGAGCGCAGCATGGAGCTGCTGGACCCGTCGGTGAAGTCGTCGGCCGCGCCGGACCAGGTGCTCATGTGCGTCCGCATCGGGCTGCTGTGCGTGCAGGCGGACCCGCGGCTGCGGCCGGACATGAAGCGCGTGGTGATCATCCTCTCCAAGAAGCAGAGCACGCTAGAGGAGCCGACGCGGCCCGGGGCGCCCGGGTCGCGGTACCGGAGGAGGGCGCACGGCCTGCGCAGCTCGTCGCAGTACTCCGACGGGTCGTCGTCGGGCACGACCCCGTCGACGTCGCATGCGTCCGCGTCCGCGTCGGCATCGGCATCGGCGTCGAACGCGATGACGACGTCGAGCACGCGCACCTTGCGGAGCCGGGGGCTCCCGTCGCAACGGGAAGAGCAGGAGTTGCCCAACGACAGCTGAAGCCTGACTGCCTGAAGCTCACTGTAGATATGTCCATTCTTTTTCGTCTCGTCTCTTTTCGTGTCTGCTCGGAGATTCTAGACTAGATAGTATGATTATTTTGGTAGTGGGTAGGAAGAAGTAGAATGATCGGCCGGATTATTTTAGGGTGATGCTACTACGAGTAGTTCGTAGCCGGAGGAAAATGACTGAACTGTCGGCCGATCGATTACTGGCGGTGACAGGGAATGTGCATAGCAAATGGAGAGCGATAAATCTCGTGTTTTAACGTAGAACTATTGTTCTAATAGTTCTACGGTTGGTGCTTAAAAAAAATCCTGTGTTTACAACATTCCTTTCCAGGAAATTGAAGAGACTGCATCCAATCCGTGACTCCACAGCAATATTCACAATCTCTTATTTCAAAGATGGTGACCTCGTAGCAGAAAATTAAGCAAAACCGAAAACAACAACGCTGACAACAAGAGTGAGTGAAGTTTGTACTACTGACACTGTGGCGGAGCTTGCCAAAAAAAGCTGGGCGGGTTGAATGGGCCAGGCTGCAAGGAATTACTACTAGCTGGCATTCTACAACCCATGGGCTAGCTATATTGTGAGAAAAAGCTGCAGAGCTGGGCGGGCCATGGCCCATTTGGCCTTGCCTAAGCTCCGCCAGTGACTGACAGCAAGCGGTTCCCTACCCCATCCCTAGCAACGAGGTGTTTACCCAATATCAGATTCATGGCTAGCGTGAGGCCAGTTTTGAAATATCTATCAGGCATGAGGAGAAAGTGTTGGGGAACGTAGTAATTTTAAAAAATTTCCTACGCACACGCAAGATCATGGTGATGCATAGCAGCGAGAGGGGAGAGTATGTCCACGTACCCTCATAGACCGAAAGCGGAAGCGTTATGACAACGCGGTTGATGTAGTCGTACGTCTTCATGATCCGACCGATCCAAGTACCGAACGTACGGCACCTCCGAGTTCAGCACACGTTCAGCTCGATGACGATCCCTGGACTCCGATCCAGCAGGGTGTCGGGGATGAGTTCCGTCAGCACGATGGCGTGGTGACGAAGATGATGTTCTACCGACGCAGGGCTTCGCCTAAGCACTGCTACGATATGACCGAGGTGGAATATGGTGGAGGGGGGCACCGCACACGGCTAAGGAACGATCACGAAGATCAACTTGTGTGTCTAGAGGTGCCCCCCTGCCCCCGTATATAAAGGAGCAAGGGGGCAGGCCGGCCGGCCTTAGGGGGCGCGCCAAGGAGGGGGGAGTCCTCCTCCTAGTGGGAGCAGGACTCCCCTTTCCTAGTCCAACTAGGAAGGAGGAAGGGGGAAGGAAAGAGAGGGAGAGGGAGAGGGAAAGAGGGGCCGCACCCCCTCCCCTTGTCCAACTCGGACTCCCCATGGGAGGGGGCGCGCCACCTCCTGGGCTGCTGCCCTCTCTCTCCCCTCAGGCCCACTAAGGCCCAATACTTCTCCGGGGGGTTCCGGTAACCCCTCCGGCACTCCGGTTTTCTCCGAAATCACCCGGAACACTTCCGGTGTCCGAATATAGTCGTCCAACATATCAATCTTTATGTCTCGACCATTTCGAGACTCCTCGTCATGTCCGTGATCACATCCGGGACTCCGAACAACCTTCGGTACATCAAAACTTATAAACTCATAATAAAACTGTCATCGTAACGTTAAGCGTGCGGGCCCTACGGGTTCGAGAACTATGTAGACATGACCTAGAACTGTTTCCGGTCAATAACCAATAGCGGAACCTGGATGCTCATATTGGCTCCTACATATTCTACGAAGATCTTTATCGGTCAAACTGCATAACAACATACGTTGTTCCCTTTGTCATCGGTATGTTACTTGCCCGAGATTCGATCGTCGGTATCTAATACCTAGTTCAATCTCGTTACCGGTAAGTCTCTTTACTCGTTACGTAATGCATCATTCCGTAACTAACTCATTGGCCACATTGCTTGCAAGGCTTATAGTGATGTGCATTACCGAGAGGGCCCAGAGATACCTCTCCGACAATCGGAGTGACAAAACCTAATCTCGAAATACGCCAACTCAACATGTACCTTTGGAGACACCTGTAGAGCTCCTTTATAATCACCCAGTTACGTTGTGACGTTTGGTAGCACACAAAGTGTTCCTCCGGTAAACGGGAGTTGCATAATCTCATAGTTGTAGGAACTTTGTATAAGTCATGAAGAAAGCAATAGCAACATACTAAACGATCAAGTGCTAGGCTAACGGAATGGGTCAAGTCAATCACATCATTCTCCTAATGATGTGATCTTGTTAATCAAATGACAACACATGTCTATGGTTAGGAAACATAACCATCTTTGATTAATGAGCTAGTCAAGTAGAGGCACACTAGTGACATTATGTTTGTCTATGTATTCACACATGTATTATGTTTCCGGTTAATACAATTCTAGCATGAATAATAAACATTTATCATGATATGAGGAAATAAATAATAACTTTATTATTGCCTCTAGGGCATATTTCCTTCAGTCTCCCACTTGCACTAGAGTCAATAATCTAGATTACACAGTAATGATTCTAACACCCATGGAGTCTTGGTGCTGGTCATGTTTTGCTCGTGGAAGAGGCTTAGTCAGCGGGTCTGCAACATTCAGATCCGTATGTATCTTGCAAATGTCTATGTCTCCCATCTGGACTTGATCCCGGATGGAATTGAAGCGTCTCTTGATGTGCTTGGTCCTCTTGTGAAATCTGGATTCCTTTGCCAAGGCAATTGCACCAGTATTGTCACAGAAGATCTTCATTGGTCCCGATGCACTAGGTATGACACCTAGATCGGAAATGAACTCCTTCATCTAGACTCCTTCATTTGCTGCTTCGAAAGCAGCTATGTACTCCACTTCGCATGTAGATCCCGCCACAACACTTTGTTTAGAACTGCACCAACTTACAGCTCCACCGTTTAATAAAAACACGTATCCGGTTTGCGATTTCGAATCGTCCGGATCAGTGTCAAAGCTTGCATCGACGTAACCATTTACGACTAGCTCTTTGTCACCTCCATAAACGAGAAACATATCCTTAGTCCTTTTCAGGTATTTCAGGATGTTCTTGACCATTGTCCAGTGATCCACTCCTGGATTACTTTGGTACCTACCTACCAAGCTTATTGCTAAGCATACGTCAGGTCTGGTACACAACATTGCATACATGATAGAGCCTATGGCTGAAGCATAGGGAACATCTTTCATTTTCTCTCTATCTTCTGCGGTGGTCGGACATTGAGTCTGACTCAACTTCATACCTTGTAATACAGGCAAGAACCCTTTCTTTGCCTGATCCATTTTGAACTTTTTCAAAACTTTATCAAGGTATGTGCTTTGTGAAAGTCCAATTAAGCGTCTTGATCTATTTCTATAGATCTTGATGCCCAATATGTAAGCAGCTTCACCGAGGTCTTTCATTGAAAAACTTTTATTCAAGTATCCCTTTATGCTATCCAGAAATTCTATATCATTTCCAATTAACAATATGTCATCTACATATAATATCAGAAATGCTACAGAGCTCCCACTCACTCTCTTGTAAATACAGGCTTCTCCAAAAGTCTGTATAAAACCATATGCTTTGATCACACTATCAAAGCGTTTATTCCAACTCCGAGATGCTTGCACCAGTCCATAAATGGATCGCTGGAGCTTGCACACTTTGTTAGCACCTTTTGGATCGACAAAACCTTCCGGTTGCATCATATACAACTCTTCTTCCAGAAATCCATTCAGGAATGCAGTTTTGACATCCATTTGCCCAATTTCATAATCATAAAATTCAGCAATTGCTAACATGATTCGGACAGACTTAAGCATCGCTACGGGTGAGAAAGTCTCATCGTAGTCAACCCCTTGAACTTGTCAAAAACCTTTTGCAACAAGTCGAGCTTTGTAGACAGTCACATTACCATCAGCGCAAGTCTTCTTCTTGAAGATCCATTTATTCTCAATGGCTTGCCGATCATCGGGCAAGTCAACCAAAGTCCATACTTTGTTCTCATACATGGATCCTATCTCAGATTTCATGGCTTCAAGCCATTTTGCGGAATCTGGGCTCATCATCGCTTCCTCATAGTTTGTAGGTTCGCCATGGTCAAGTAACATGACTTCCAGAATAGGATTACCGTACCACTCTGGTGCGGATCTTACTCTGGTAGACCTACGAGGTTCAGTAGAAACTTGATCTGAAGTTTCATGATCAATATCATTAGCTTCCTCACTAATTGGTATAGTTGTCACAGGAACCGGTTCTTGTGATGAACTACTTTCCAATAAGGGAGCAGGTACAGTTACCTCATCAAGTTCTACTTTCCTCCCACTCACTTCTTTCGAGAGAAACTCCTTCTCTAGAAAGGATCCAAATTTAGCAACGAAAATCTTGCCCTCAGATCTGTGATAGAAGGTGCACCCAATTGTCTCTTTTGGGTATCCTATGAAGACACATTTCTCCGATTTGGGTTCGAGCTTATCTGGTTGAAGTTTCTTCACATAAGCATCGCAGCCCCAAACTTTAAGAAACGACAACTTTGGTTTCTTGCAAACCACAGTTCATAAGGGTCGTCTCAACGGATTTTGATGGTGCCCTATTTAACGTGAATGCGACCGTCTCTAAAGCATAACCCCAAAATGATAGCGGTAAATCAGTAAGAGACATCATAGATCGTACCATATCCAGTAAAGTACGATTACGACGTTCGGACACACCATTTCGTTGTGGTGTTCCGGGTGGCGTGAGTTGCGAAACTATTCCGCATTGTTTCAAATGTAAACCAAACTCGTAACTCAAATATTCTCCTCCACGATCAGATCGTAGAAATTTTATTTTCTTGTTACGATGATTTTCCACTTCACTCTGAAATTCTTTGAACTTTTCAAATGTTTCAAACTTGTGTTTCATCAAGTAGATATACCCATATCCGCTCAAATCATCTGTGAAGGTGAGAAAATAATGATACCCGCCGCGACCCTCAATATTCATTGGACCACATACATCAGTATGTATGATTTCCAACAAATCAGTTGCTCGCTCCATAGTTCCGGAGAA